AGGGTGGGTGTCAGGAGGATGGGGCCAAGCTCTTTTCAGTGGTGCCCAGTGACAGGACAAGGGGCAACGGGCACAAACTGGAGCAGAGGAAGCTCCAGCTGAACCCGAGGAAGAACTTCTTCCCTCTGAGGGTGACGGAGCCCTGGCCCAGGCTGCCCAGGGAGGCTGTGGAGTCTCCTTCTCTGGAGATATTCCAGCCCCGCCTGGACGCGGTGCTGTGCAGCCTGCTCTGGGTGACCCTGCTTGGGCAGGGGGTTGGGCTGGGTGACCCACAGAGGGGCCTGCCAACCCCCGCCATGCTGGGATTCTGTGTCTTCCTTTTCTCCCATCCAAACCTCCCCTCTTTCCGTTTCAATCCCTCGCCCCTTGTCCTGTCTCTACAGACCCTGGTAAAGTCTCTCTCCATCTTTCTCATCGCCTGGTTTATAGATCAGAAGGGCACCGTAAGGTCTCCTTGGAGCCTTCTCTTCTCCAGGCTGAGCACCCCCAGCTCTCTCAGCCTTTCCGCACAGCAGAGCTGTTCCAGCCCCGCCATCATTGCTGGGGCCTCCTGGCCCTGCTCCGACAGCTCCAGGTCTTTCCTGTGCTGCAGAGCCCAGGGCTGGACGCAGGGCTCCAGGGGCCTCAGGAGAGCGGGGCAGAGGGCAGATTCCCTTCCCTCGACCCGCTGGCCACACACATTGAAGCACTGTGACAGGTCCCTTCCTCCCAGGCCATGCTCCAGCCCCATCCCACATCTTCTCTGGAACAAACGCCCAGTCCGGCGCGGCCTCCAGCAGCTCCTACCTCCATGGATAGTGAAATCCTCCACCGGCACCGAGCTGGCCACTTGACCGATGTGTGTCAAGTCCTCTTCGTTCAGACCGGTGGAAGGGCAGGTCATGCTCCGGGGTTGCCCGTCCAGAGTGAAGAAGCCTGCAGGAGGAGGAGCAGGTCCAACCGTGCCGTGGGAGCCGTGCCCAGCTCCGCGCGAAGAGCTCAGGTCACGGCCACCCTCCAGCAAGGGCAGGGATGCCCGGAGCAGAGAATGTCACCCCACCTTCCCACCGGCCTGATTGACTAGGAAATCACGGCCACTGCTCTAGAGAAGCCAGGCTTTTCGCTAGGGACCTCCAGAACGTTGCTAACATCTTACCAGGCCAGGGTGAGTCCAGCCAGTGCTTGATGTGCAAAATCTTTTCATCCTTGGATCTCGCGTGGGCCTCCTCGCAGATCTTATCGTACTTGGCTATTTCCTCCTGAAAGGCAGAACCAGGAGGCGGAGGAATGTTAGCGAGGGGTCTCCAAACAAGGGTGTTGAGGCTGGGGGCCTCGGCGAGAGCTTGCGGGGGTGCTGGAGGGCACGGCCGGTCCCCACAGCTCAGCCTTAGGGAGCGGAGCTGCTGCTGGAGGCCCCTGTCCCCCGAGGGACAGCTCTGCCGCCGTCCCAACCGACAACTCGCGTCCAACCCTACAGATGCCGCAAAGTGGTACCGGGCCGAGGAAGAGCCCGGGCAGGGGACCC